CTCCGCGTCCTTGTGCAGTACAGGGTTTTTTTCACCTTGGTTGATCGCGGACGCTGCCTTCAAGCGCGTTCAACTGCAATTCAGCACGAGGTTCTTTACGGGGCATTTCGCAAGATTTCGTTCTGATTTTTCTTCACAATGGGTTACTTGCTACAATCCTTATCATTACGTGTCGTCGGGGCGTGTCAGTGCGGCTTCGTTTGGCGCGGTACCGAAGTCGTTCTGCACCAATTGTCGACTTCGTATTACTCGTTTTCTACCACTTTTTGTCGCATACGCGTTTCAACAAAAAGGCTGAGAACGGCTTCAACAGTGTGCGCACTCCTACTGGCTGACACGCCCCGACAGTCCGTAATGATGAGGACAGTACCTTGCTATTGCTATCTGAGCCGCATAGTCATCAAATTTGAACGCGGGCTCTGCCTTTTATGATAGAAAAGGAAGTGCTGTGGGAAGTCTCGCAGAGTAATATTATATACAGCCCGGTGACACCTGCAGTGAAACCCTACGGCGCTACATCTGGGAGGAGTGAGATATGACGGTTTTACGAGCCAAATGTGGTTGAGGGAAACACATGGCGTCATAATATACCGTCATGTCAGCTTGTTTGTATTCCATCAGCGACTAGCAAATTGGCGTATATACCCTTCGTAAAACCTTCCAGAAGAGGTGGACTTTTGCTTAATAACCCGTCTTTCTTATCACCTGCCTTAGGACGTTTTACTCTAGTTCGCTGCGGTTGAGAGGGCGTGTCGGGCAGTATGAGTGTGCCACGACGCCAAGTTGAGTGCACGTCGTTTGGCGCGATCTAGTACCGAAAATGTGTCAAAACATGTCGGACACTTGCCCTCACTGAGAGACGGAGTCGTCCTCAGTGAGAGCAACCAAAATTTTAAACCTACAACTTTCTCTCCACTGATCAATGGGGGATGCCTTGGATGAGAAGTAGGAACACCGCAATAACACCCACGTCATTATATAGTCTGTCAGCTATGAATCTCGCCCTTTAGTAATTCGGACGAGTTGACCAACTTTGCGGAAATGTGCCATTACTTGCCACTACACGTCAATTGCAATGTGATCGCGCCAAACAACCGCCTACCATTAAAACCCGTTCTCTGCCAATTGTTGAAGAGGGTATGCGACAACAGTTGGTAGAAAACGAGTGATACGAACGACATGATACAGTCTTGTCACTTGCTCGCTTCAACAACTGGTGGAGAACGGGTTTGGCACCGCGCCAACTCATCCTGCCTGACACGCCCTTTCGTCCGCAGCGAACTACACTATACTGTACTCACTTTCTCCCTCATCCTAGAATACATCTCTGGCACCTGACATAATTATCTCTGACGAAAAGGCTATTTAGCAATATCTCTAGCGCATGTGAAGTTCAAGTGATTTACTGTGCTTCATAAAATCACTGAACAATGTTTTCCATTTTCAGGGATGAGTTCCGCGAAGAAGTGGATGCTCTGAAGAATGACATTGGAGCAGAGCTATTCGTGGTTGAAGCTGGCGATGACGCAAGCTTTGAACAAGATTCTCAACTAACCTCCAAGGACAAGATTCATCCGTATTTCCCAATGGAGAGGAACTGATTCGGAGATTTTGGGACCGATTGCCGATGCAATTTGCAAGGTTAGCGTACACCAAGGTTATGAGCAGGCTTCGCGACATGAGTATTTCAGTCGCGCGATTGGGATTCGTGAGACTATGAGAAATCCACGGCTAATCGTTGGACATCTGCAACTCCGATTCTAGTCACATCCAAAACTTCCCTGAACGGTTGCAGCAGTTCAACGATTAAGCTGTGTTCATACTTTATGACTCGGCTTTTTGAGGTACTAAGCGTTCGGAGCGAAAAGGATGCTTGGGTATCTACCGTCGCCGGTCACTAGAGTTTTTAGGGAATCGGCGTTTTGGAAGAATCAGCGTTTGGGAGAATCGGTTTTCTGTTTGCCGATAGATACCCATGCTTTCCTTTTCGCTCGAAAACGTTGTTTCTTCCAAAACACCCGAGCGATACCCATACTTTCCTTCTCGCTCAAAACGCCAGGTTGTGAAGTATGAACGCAGCCTTACCGACGAGGCGCAGTCAAACGTGCTCCTCATAGACAATAGATAATAACGAAAATCAGCGATTGATGAATTACACGGCATAATGAGGCACTGAGAATCAGTTACTGAAACATTGCCATAGTGAATCACTGAGAGCCAATTTACTGAAACATATTCGTTGAAGATTGCTCCGCCTGATCCTTCACGAGCTGTTACGTGGCCGTCCAGAAAGATCTCCCAAACGTCACAACCTGCTCGGTCGTGCAGCCAAATTGACTACCCGGTAGGTTTTCAAGCCGGCATTGTAGGCGTTATTTAATCGTACAATTGAGTGCAGGGCTGATGTCATCATCATGCTGGACTCCTCCGAGAACTTCTCACAAGAGGAATTCGACGAAATGAAGGAGAGCGTCGCCGAATTGGTTGACGCAGGATTCGATCTCGCACCAGATGTTGCCAGAATCGGTTTCGTGGTGTACAGGCAAGATACTTTCCACTTAGACATCCCTACTGCATTTAATTACCTGTAAGGCTAGATATTCTAACCCCTACCTTAATCCTACCATATTGTGCATGTTGATTTCGCCATACGTGCGCTTGTTCTGTGTTATTTTTTATACCAAACAAACTTGAGAGAGTCATATAGGGGGGGGGATTATCGGTCAGCGAACCATTTGCAGTACGATAAGAGTTTGAGCAGCCCAAAGCTCAATGAAAGAAAGTCCTCATGTTGGAACTAGGACTTGCTTGAGTAATATAAATGCACTTTACTTACCCAAAGGCCCCACTTGTACACTACAAGCTTCTTTGAAGTAGGATGTACCATCACTCAAGAAAATTCACAATAGAATTACTTTCACATGCTAACCAGCATATTATAGACGCGTGAGCTGGAAGGAGATAGGAGGTAGCTCGAAAACATGCGCAATTCATCGTGCCATCGTTTCGAAAGTGAGCGCATGGGCTGGCATCTTTTGAATAAAGGGCGATCATCACGGTTATCAGGAAACTGGTTGAACGGACGAGTTGTCGTTGATGCGGACAAATGTATCGTTGAGCTGCAGAAAATGGAGTATGCAGAGCCTGGTACGGGTGTAATAGCTCATAAAATTCTGAACCGTCTGTCTTCTGAAGTGGTCATCCACCTGTTGCTCATAATCGGAGGGGTTTCTAAATCCGCAGTGGAAATGCACACGGATGTTTCTTGGCGTGTAGCGCTAGATCTGCCCAATAGGCGTTTGTTTTTTTGAGAATCTGTTTGGGTAGCCAAATGTGAAGCTAGCTATTTCCAGTGACAAAGTAGCCGTTCCTGTTGCGCTTGGTCATTACGAGGACAACATTGATCTAATACAGCAGATATCGGATACGCAAAAGACCAACGACGGAGTGGCCATCGCGTTGTACGGTCTCAATGCTGCTCGACAACAATTCCAGGTTTCTTGTTTTTCATATTGTGCCAGCTACACTTGACATCTCTTACCATTCACAATTCTTTCTAGTTGCACGGAAGAGAGAATGCAACTCGTATTGTGATAATGATAACGAATGGCAGGAACAGGTATGTACACGCTCTTTCCCTTTTCCCTTGAAATTCTATGAACTTCCTTGGAATGTCTAGAGTAGAGATTTTGCAAGAGGAAACTGCAGCACCGCGCTGAAATCTTCGAACATATTACAATGCTTTCAGTTGTTCACTTCTGGCAGTTGCAGCCGCATGCCGAAGACTTGCAACATTTGAAACGCATAGCCTAATGTTTTTTCCATTGAGAAATCTCTGACGTTCATGAGCATTGTCTTAGCCTATGCGAATCCATCTAAAGTGCGTACATACTTTATGGCAGCTCGCGACAGCCCAGTGTCCACCAGCGACCAGCAGCGTTTCGAGCGTCCGTTAGCGTCAGCAATGAGAAAGTATACATAGATAGGGATCTAGCATCTACCTGCGTCCACCAGCAACCAGCAGCGTCTCGAGAGCATGGAAAGGATAGGTAACAACGATGCGACCAGCCTCACCGCTACCAGCCTCACCAAGCGCGTCAAACAGCGTCTAGAGTGGCGGAATATGGAGTGGCAGGAGGTAGCAGACAGCCTTAGAGTTAGGGCGGATGGGAGGGTGTGACGGACTCTCAGGAGAGATTATGGGGTGATAGGTGGGTACCAGCTATTTGCTCCCCTTCCACCTCCCTAGACTTTACCAGCTGGTGGAAGCTGTTATGACGCTGCTGAGTCGCCATGGATCTAATACCTACTACTTGCCTAGCCCTCGAATCGCTGCTTAGATCGTGACGGACGCTTTTAGAAGCTAGATCGATATACTCTCTATTCGCTGACACTGACGGACGCTCGAGACGCTGCTGGTCGGGGCTAATGCCGTTTGGACTCCAGAAATTTCGGCTCCGAGCTCATTTTAAAAGTGGCAAGATCACCAAATCCGCTAAAAACTTGTATATAGGGGTAATTCAACATCCTGATCACGAATATGACATTCATTTTTGGCGCTGGCGCTAATGGATGACACTACGGTTACCTGCGCTCTGCTAAGGCTGAGCCCAGGAGGTAATCGTAGTGTCCTCTCTTGGCGCCAGCGCCAAGAATCGACACTGCAGTTCATACTCGTAATCAGGATGTTGAATTTACCATATGCAAGCTTTGAAACATAGCTCGGAGCCGAAATTTCTGGAGTCCAAAAACGGCATTACCCTGTTGGTCGCTGCCGCAAGTATGAAAATGGCTTAATGATTAGCTAGCGCGAAGGGAAGTGAAAATGATTTTTCTGGGGCTTTATTATCTCTTCATTGTTGTTAACCAGTAGGCATAGGTTCTGAGGGACATCCAAGCTGATGAGAGTGCTTGTGTACTATAGATTCAAATCAAAATGCGTTTGATAGCAGTTATCCGCTACGCGTGCCTTTATTATTATAATTCGCATTTCTTACAAATAGCGCCACAACTTTTGTTTGAGCTTCTGTTTTTCAGCTCATTTCTAGAGGAACCTGCGCATTCCTTTCTAATTTGTCAGAAATACTAGGATCCCATTTTCAGTTTCTCTCTCTTCACCATATTTAAAGACAATTATCGCGATCAAGTATTGCGGGCAATTGTACTCTGTCATGCACCAGTATTCCATAGTTAGCTTCTCAGTAGAAAAAGAAGCAGAAAAATCTTCGGGAACACCTTGAACCCAAACCTACCTTTAGCAGTGGGGGCGGGGCCTGGACGAGTGTGCCGGGCGTGGCTGCCAGAATTCGATGCGGCAGCCGCAATTGCGTCCCAACTTTCGAAATAGGATACTTTCGAACGTAAGGCAGCGTTCCATACTCGATAGCGTACAGGCGTCGCGCCTACAGCCGCCGTAGCGCCCTACCAGCCCGCCGCTCGCAACGTACTGCAATTTCCAACGATGGGATGATTAGAGTTGCTTACAGAGAAAATTGGGAAGGTTGCTGGAGTTTTCTTGAGAAATTGACAAGAAAAAAAAGAAAAAAAATGACAACAAACCCCACTTGACAACAAATCTCCCTACCATTGGAAAAGCAAGCACTACATTCCATAAGCAAAAAAAACTCTAATGGTTCCGCACTTTCACACATGTTTACAAGCCTGACCGAAGTAAGACCTTTAGCTGAGCTATGAGCCAACTTTGGCAAAATGCCAGTGGGACCGCGGGCTTAAAGGGACGCGCGGGCTTTAAAGGGACGGATGCAGTTCGGGACCAGACGCCTCGTCCACCTACCGTCTCCGTGAGCCTAGCGAGCCTTGTCGAAATTGCGATAACTTCCTCATCGCGCGCCATTGATGGATAAAAGCGGGATCATCTTCATCAAGGCGCAGAGGGTTCCAGAAGGCGCGGGAAGTCATTTTTCAAAGGCTTTCTATCTCTTCACGCCAATTCAACAGTATGCGGGTAAACGTACTGGATGAACTTGTAGGAGATATTGAGCAAGTCACAGGGTACTATAAGGGTGATCACTTGTTAGTAAAATGAATGACCTTCGTAGAGTAGATGATTGAATTTCCGTTCCTTAGAAATGGCACCTTTTTAGATCCAGCAATTGAATTCTTTTCTGTTATCTCATACAATTTGTGTATGAATAATTTGTGTATGAATGTGTATAAATTTTGAGAAGAAATTGTAGACTGAATATTTAAGGGCATGAATACCCAGATCGTGTCTATGAGGTGGCGACCGCTTACGAACTTGACGATCATACGGCCTCTATCAGTCGCCACCTTTGCGGTTACACGACTCCGGCAGTTGGTATTACTCCAACTGGAGCAACGTTCCGTCGCACAACCAAGAGGGATGTTTCGGCCGTCAGGTATGTTCACTGCCCTCTCACAGTTAACATTAATTTTTTTTCTCGAATAATGTGTCCTTCAGTTATACACCATATCCATGGGGAGGACCACGTGCAGTGAAATTCCCACCGCTCTGTAGTGACGGGATTAAGAGACCGTACCAGTTCAATATCTTAATAGACGTGACAGCTCGCTCATCATCCGAGGTAAGATTTAATGTAGTAGTATTCCATCTTATTGAAAGTGTGCGCTTCATATCTACCATTTTTTTAGGACTTCCGTCTTGCTCTGGACCATCTCTCGTTATTCTTCCAGAAACGTTTCTCACCTGATGACAACATGTTACTGTAAGTGGTGACTCAACTTCATCTTAGAAACGAAAATATATTTTTGTACTCTCCAGGTTTAATCTGATGACGGTGAACAGTAAAAAGGTTCTCGATGCTCGTGCTGGTTTGATGGTTGGCGAAATTGGCTACAGCCTGAATGATGTCGCTCAAAACATGTGAGTGTACCATAGCATGAGCGTTATTCTGAAAAAGCACCTGGTTTTTTTCAGTGACGATGACGAGTCGGCAAAATTAGGTGTGGGTATCGACAGTCTTGTTGAGATGTCCAATGAAAACTATATCCGTGGTTCGTACAAGATAATGCTGATTATCAGCGCCGACAGCACTAGCGGGTAAGACGGCCCGATAAAAAGTTTAAGCCTCTTTAGCTGGACTGCATTTCTTTCAGTGATCAAGTGTTACCATCGGCAGAGTTCGCTGCTGGCGATTTTGGCCACAGTATAATCGGCTTATCTGTCCGCAAACCATCCACAGATCTGCTGACTAAAATGACCGGATCAGGAACAAGGTACTTCTTCTGTGATATTGAAGATTGTTAAAAATTATTTCTTTTTTTCTTTGTGATATTCTAAGTTGTGGGGAGGAGGTGGTGTAGTGACAAGTGGCGCGCTCACCACTCGCGCGGTCCTGGGTTCAAATCCCGGGTCGACTCCCGCCTAGGCCAACCAAGCCTTCTACCCTCCGGGGACGGTAAATTGGTACCAGATTCGTCTGGGAGGATAAAACATGACTTGTACATCGGCTGGCCCCCGCAAGTCATTAGTGGGCAGAAGGTAATGTAGTGACAAGCGGCAGCATGGTATGGGCCACATCGCATTCAATAAAGCCACTACGATTCTGAATGGAAGTAGAATGCGTGCCGCATCCCACAAAGGGATTGATCAACGGCGAAGACTTTATCCTTTATCCTTTAACTAGTGCAAGATTTATTGAAAATGTGCTTTTCAGAGTTATACATCTTGACTGGACATCGCCGAATGAGCTCTTTAACAGTTGGTTTGCATACTCAATTTGTGACTATGTCACTGCAACCACCGTCAAGACAATCCCAACAACCAAACTCAAGAGTACTCATCCTAGAAAAACTACAAGTGCGTAGAGTGTGCTAATGAAAGTAACACAGCGGCATTTGAGCGCCCTGAATGTACTGTTTCCAGCAGCTCCGGCTACTCTCTCAGTACCAACAAACGTTGAAGCAGTTCCACTATCGCCCTCATCATTCTCAGTGTCATGGACTTGTTGCACGAATAGAAAAGCGGTGCGTATTAAGTGGATCATAAAAATATTACTTATCCGTAAACATAAAAATAAAAGTTTATTTAAGAATTCACACCGATAGATGTCTACTCATTGATGTTTTCTATCGCTCCGCCCACAACACCCCGCAACACACCGACCCTGCACCAATGCGCACGCCAGCAGTCTCTTTGGAACAACTATCCGAGTAAGTCCTCCTCATCAACTGAGTGCCATTGAAATCAGAAAAAAAAGCTTGTGACATCTCGAATATGTTTGAGCCCCTACTATCGAACAAGTAGTACCCATAGTGGCTGTTCGATCCGATGATTATTGGAAGTTACCCCAAGACAGGAGATGTTTCAACCCCTGGTGGTGCAAACGGTCGATCTACTGGGTTCTGTAGCATGAATATGACCTCTACATTCCTGCAATGGAGAGGGCGCGGTTGCGTAAGTTACTGGAAAACGGCACAGGAAGCATTACTTGTGGAATATTTTCATTCCGGACAAGTCTCGTATTCCTCTAAAAGCACAGCACTCCCCACGTACGAGTAAAATACGTGACGACTCCACATCACTGGGATATGCACTTTAGGAGAAGTTATTCTGTACGGTACTATTGACATAATTTTTTTAAATATAAGGCTGGTGTTGAGATTGTATAAAGGAGGAGCGTAACGCGTGGTGAGCACGATAAGAGTGCAAAGACACTGTAAGACTGGAATGCGGAATCTTTGAATTAAATTTATACCCCTTGCTTTTCAGTTGATCTGCTCACTAGGCAGTTGGCACGATAAATCCCTAAAACGAGTAGGATCAATACGCCTGGCAGGACGGAATTCCGCGCCCCTGAGCAGGCGCTGCGTAGCGCCTTTTCCAAGAAAGGTACCCTTATAAGGCCCTATCAAGCTGCAACATACCGACCCGGACGCCCACCGCGCCCGCCCGCCCAATAATATCTACCTGATGCTCGTATTGCTTCATTTGCTGATAAAGCCAAGGGGTTCAGCGGTCGTGGTGTTGCGAGGATATATGAGTACATACGTGCAGCCGTACCTACCGTGGGTTAGGTGCCAGTGGGAAACTCGTCCAAAATTGCTCTTCGAGTCATTAAGAACGAAGGCTTTTCTTCGCAGGTTTTTGACCGTTTCACTTCGTTTTTTCGCCATTTTCCCCACTATATAGCTCCCTGCTAGCATTTTAGACCGAATTTTAGACCGAGTAGCAAATTATCGTGCCATATGGCTTTTAATTTTTCTAGTTTGTGAATCATCTCTGTTTATTTGTTCTTCGTAGCCGCAAACACTTGATGTACGACTTCAATAAGTCTTGTCTTACTCAGCTAAGAAGCAAGTGCTGCAGAAATTCTGTCTTACAGGATCTTCCGACGGACCATGAGTACGTGGTTTGTGTGATCGCATCTCATCTGGTCAGCAATGTTTCGGCGAAAGCCGACCAATATTGTGCGCCAGGTGCTGCTCAACAAAAGTGCGTCTCATTTTGTTCATTTGAACCTTCAACTCAACTGCTAATTTCTACCTGTTCAGATACAACCGCGCCCGATAATTACGAGCCAGTTGAAATGGCGCCATGTAATTGTTTGTGTGATCGAGGTGAAGCGATTCTGAGACCATCTTGCGATCTAGTCGTGGATGAATACCGTCCAATCGCTACTCTTCCACCTGCTTCGGCTGATGAATGTCCATGCAAGGTATCTCACTAGTCTTACAAACTCAACTTATCACTACCGTAATCATCTTATTCTCAGGTCAAGGCCCATGCGGGCAGGTGTCCATTCGGTTATGTACACATGAAAGGACAATGTTATGGTAAATATTTGCTAAGAACTATTATTTCTAGTAACCTGTATGCCCCCAGATAGGCTGCTGTAATCATGCTACCTTCTAGATGTGGACGAGTGTGCTGTAGGAAATGGTGGCTGTTCTCATGGATGTGTCAACACACCGGGTGGTCATTACTGCGCTTGTCCGTATGGAATGACCAGAGATCCACTTGATCCCAACACATGTGTCAATGCCGCAAATTCGTATGTTTACAATGTTTGTACTGAGAATTATATTTCACTCGTTAATGCTTGGGGTGTTTAGATTCGATCGCATAGCTCAGCTTTTATCGCAGTATCTTCACGCCAATGCACAACAAGCGGCAGGATCAGGATCCATGCGAACCGATGCTGATCCGTCTCAGAAGATGAAGTACAAAGTGAGTCACTTCAAATTTTATGCCGTGGACCCCGTTTCAGATCTCTTATGGAATAGCTTTCAAAGGAATCCTTGTGCCTTAAAATTATCGCATGTTAAGAGGATTTAAAGTAACCCTCGAAGGGTCGATAAGGTCCAGGGCGAACATATTTCCCTTGAACAGAAAGGAGTCGGCATCGCGACAGTTACAGTATTGCACAATGATTCCTTTAAAGACAGTTTTCGCCACCCGCACCGCAACAAGTGACCCGCAAAATGCCTCCCTGCATTTGGCATTCGGGTTCGCACTCGCGAACAATGTAAAACTTCCGTCACTCTGAACGGCG